CTGGTGGATGGCTGGTGCAGAGAGAGGACCGTGGACAACCAGCCGTTCTTTTTCTTGGTGGAGGAGGCCGGCGGCAGTGTCAGGCTGAGAGTGAGACCCGAAGAGAGTGAGTGTGCGGCTCGTGTTTGAGGGTCGGGGCTCAGGCCTCTGAAGCGGGAGGTAAAGGGGAGATGGGAAAGCAGGCTGGGTGGCTTGAACCTGTGCATCACAGGCCAGGGCAGAGGCACTGGGTCCTAGGGGTCACTTTGGGTCCCCGAGGGCCCGCTTTGCTTTCAGTGCCAAGCAGGGTTGGGGGCAGAGGAGACAACTATCCAGCTCTCCTTATGCCTCACCCCTCCAAGTGTGGGTAGCCTCTTTTCTTCCCCCGCAGAGGGAGCAGACTACACCCAGGCCATTGTGCTGGGCTGCGTGGGGGGCATTGTGGCCGTGGGACTGGGGCTGGTCCTGGCTTATCGGGTCTCAGTGGAAATCTATGACCGCCGGGAATTCAGTCGCTTTGAGAAGGAGCAGCAGCAGCTTAGCTGGAAGCAGGTGAGAGCGGCTGCTCCTGCCGCTCGGGGCGGTTCGCCTGCTTGCCCTGGCTGCAGTCTTTCTGCGCATGTACCCTCCGACCCAACGCGCCAGGGTCCTATGCTCTAGATTGGCATCCCAGGGCTAAAGGGGGTGCAGGTGCAGGCACCCTGGCCTGACTCCCTGCCTCTTTGCCCAGGACAACAATCCTCTCTACCAAAGCGCCATCACAACCACCATCAACCCCCACTACCAGGGGAATGTGCGCCCCGCTCCCTGAGGAGCAGGCAGACGCACACCCTGGGCACCCTGTGGAGCAGTGGGTCCGTCTGGGAGCAGTGTGGCAGTCTCCAGCAGGCTTCATTTTCAGTGGTGCCCAGGAGGATGGCCTTCCACTGCCAAGACCTCACTTCCTACCTCACGTGGACAATAAAGGACCTTCCATCAGAGCTCTGCTGTCAGTGTGCTTTACCCCCATGCTACAGCAGAAGGGGTGCCCTGGGCACCAGCAAGGCCCTGGTCATTTCTTCTGAAACTTCAACGTGCAGTCCTGAGACAGACAGGCTGGGGAACATTCTGATTCACCAGGCCTGGAGGGGCGCTAGTGAATGCAGGGTCCCGATTCTGATGCATGAGGGCGAGAGGTCCCACTCTAAGAAATGTGGCATCGTGGTGCCCAGGAGTCCTGGTTGCATTGTGGGTTATGCTATGGTCTGCCATCTGCAAGGTTTGTGGTTCAAACCCACCAGTTATGCCAAGAGAGAAAGATGAGGCTGTCTGCCCTTGGACAAGTGCCCAGCCAGAGAACCCTAGGGGCAATTTGTCTTAGGCTACTTTGGATGAGTTCTCAAGAGGGCTCAGTCTCTGGAGAAGGGCGTCGTGCTTGGTAGACAGAGAAGAGAGAGGGTGATCCTCCAGGCGATGGAACCACACCGTGGGTACGACACCGGGCTCAGATACCACGACTGTGCCGTGGCTTGGGCTGGGAAATTCTCCTCATCGGGCATGGGGTCGTTATGAGCCTGAGACGTAAGGGCACCCCATCCTGTCTTACTGCACACATTGTCATGCTGCTTACTGCCCCTCTGAAGCGGTCTCTAGGTCACTCAAAGGTGTGTGGGGGTCAGACCTGCAGGGATGAAGGAGGACCCCTCTGACCCCCATGAAATGCTTCCTAAGAGACTGTTTTTCCCAAAGAGGAGAAATATGTAGAAAAACCCTGTTTTCTTTTTATTTAAATATCCTAAATATACCACAAAGGAACATACACTGCACTTTAATGGTAAAAAGATACAAGTTTATAACATCTTATAAAAACTACCATTCAAAAGTGATCTTGTTCATTTGATATCCCCACCCTCAATAGCAAAATAAGTATATTAAAAAAAAGGGGTGGTGGTGTTGGAGAGGAAGGTTAGGGGGTGGGGGTGGGGTATCTGCTGAAGATAACAGCCCCAGGGCCACAGCAGAGGCCTAGAGCTGGGGGGGGGGGGGTTGAAAGTTGTGGTGGGACCCCACTACTCACATAACCCCCCCCATGTCAAGCCTTGGGGTAGATCAGGAGCTAGGAGATAACAAGAGGCTGCTGAGAGTGGACAGAGAAGACTTAGCGGGGCTGGGCAGCAGCCCTCCCAGAGGAAACTGGGACCACTCTCCCAGATCCCCAAAGTCTACAACCTGGTCTCTGGGCACCCGTCCAGTCTTGCCTCTCCCTCACTTCAAATACACCTGAGGCATCCTTCCAGTGCTAGGCCTGGCCCCACTGGAAGGAAAGGGGGGGAGGGGGGCATTGGATCAGGGGGCCTGTGGTTTTCTGGGATACAAGGTGGGGTTCTGGGCCCTAAAACTCACTCCTCCAAACCCACGTGTTCCTCTATCCTCACACTCCCATTGGCCTAGAACAGCAGCACCGAGACACAGCTCCCAGGCCTTTCCTGCCCGTCAGTCCTTAGCACACAGGGCCCGCGTGCCCTTCCTCACCCCACGCCACGCCAGCAGGAAGCCAGCATGCACGGTCAGGGCAAACTCTGATCTAGTGCGTGCACACGGATGCACACAAGTAGACACACATTCGGGTTACAGACCACGCTGGGGATCCCTACCACACATACCCCCAATCACAAGTGGCTGTAAGTGGAAGGGAGAGACTTCTTATGAAAAAACAAACAAAAAACCTTTTGGGAGGGCAATTATTTAAAATGTATCCTGCCCCCCAGGGGTGACAGAGAAGAATCCCAGCCCCATCAGGGCCCTGTAACAGGAAAGGGGCTGGCTCACATGCAGAGAGGTCCCTGCTGGCAGGGACCACAGGCTGAGACCACGGGCAGAGGTCTAGGTTCTAGAGCCCGGCAAACAGGAGTGTCAGCCCAAAGCTGGGAGAGGGCACGGCAGCACACGCTTTGCCCAGCGTCTTCCCCAAGGTAAGCCTGAGGGCCGCCTGCCTGAAATACTCAGAGGTCCCTCGAGAGAGCTGGGAAATGAAACCCCCACTGAACAGCTTGCTGCCAGGTCACCCAGTCTCCATGATTATTAACCCATTGCCTTGTCCCCAACAGGTTGGGGGCAGGTGACAGCGGAGGTCACCCGACCCCCAGCACCTCTGTAAGGATCTGCAGGAAGAGAGGTTTTCGTTTCACCTTAGGAAACGTACGCTCACAAGCTCCTGATTTAGCTAGAAACATCCTAACCACCAGCCTGCTGAATCAATTTTTAAAAACCCTCTCAAACAAAATTTTCCTTTACCATACACGGAGTTTCTCAGCTCCTCCTGGACCTCAGCCCCCGCCCCCGCCCCCCCTCATGTTTGGGACGGAGGCAGCTGTTTTATGCTCATCCTCCCCTCCCCAAAGGTGAGGGCCTGAGAAGGGTTTGGCTCAATACTATGCCATCTCATTCAACCACACAATCACGAACACTCACGCCCCTGCTCCCCAACACACCCCCGGATCACTTTTCGGGGAGTAAAAAGGGTGGTACTGTGGGAGAAGTGAGGAGCAAAGAATATTGGTTAAGAATAAAACCTACACACATTTCAACTCTCCGTCAGGCCTTTCTCCGCAGCTGGCTCTGCCCACCCCCACCAATTGCTGTTGCAAGGAATGGTCATCAAGAAGAAACCAAGTCCATCTTTGGGACAAAAGGTCAGATCGGTCGTCTGTAGCCGAATACAGTGATAGGACTCGGGCAGGCACGACAGCTCCGACTGCCCACCGGTCACGCCAGGGGCATCCGATCCCTCAGTTTCTTCACCAGCTGCTCTCCAGCTTGGGGCTCGTCTGGGGCTGCTCCCCAGAGGGCACGGGGAGAGAGCCCACTCTGATATCCTTGACTCCAGTTCAACACAGACCGCCCGCTGGAGGAGTCAAGGGCAGTGAGGTAGCCGCAAACGATCTCCAACATCAACTGTCCACAGAGAAGGGAAAGGGCTGTATGGGCCACTCCCACCCAAGCTTCCTTCAAAAGGCACTTGAGCTGAGCCCATCAGGTACCTGTGTGTCACACGGGCCAGTGCAGCAACCGTGGAAACCACTCCTGCTTGTCCCCTGAGGAAGAAAGAGGTGCCCGCCACTCTTCTTGGACCCAGCCCCTGCCTGCTTCTCCACTGTCCCTCCTTTGTGCCCACAATGCACGAGGAAGCCCAAGTAAGCACAGCGGCCCTTCCTGACCTGTCCCCCGTCAAGCAGGAGGCGAGGGCAGGGCTGCGGAGTGCTGAGGGTCAGCTGCAACTACAAAGTCCGTTGGGGGGAGGGAGGGCTGCAGTCCCTGCTCTGTACCGGGACTCTGCGACATCCAGTCTGCCTGAACTGCCTTTGAACAAACAAAAGCACGAAAGTCCCTTTCCCCAGTCTGTTCCTTTTCAGCTGCCAGCTGGAGTCCACGGTTGTGGGAGCCACACTTCAGTCTTGGTCCTGTACCCGGAGTCCCCCTCGCGTGGCCCCAGCCGAGGGTCCAGGGACTAGTTCCCCCACCCAGGAATGCTGTAGAACGTCCCCGAGATACTCATCGTCTCAGATTATTTACACACTGAGGCTCTGGGGCTGCTGCCTCCTGATGCACTCTTCGGGCCTCCTGGGGTCCTCTCCCAGGAGGGGCAGGTACAGACTTGGGGTGGTGGGACTGTGGACCACAGAGGGAAAGCTCTTCGGGAGAGTCTTCTGAACACTCCCACCACCTGGGGCCCCTTGCGTCTATAGAGAAAACTGCCCGTCGGAAGTCTTGGACTGGCACCCTTGGCACATCCGTTTGTGTCTGAGTAATCGATCTGTCCGAGAGAAACACTGAGAAGAGAGGAAGGGTTAAGTGCCAAAGAGGAGCCGCTCCGCCCTACTGACACAGCACAGTCCTAGGTCGGTCTCCTGAGTATGCCCCAGGTGGGGGAAGTACAGGGGTCAGGCAGGCAAGCGCTGGAGCCCGAGAGCCCAGGCCTGAACCCCGACTCGGCTTCTACCCGCGTGACCTTGGGCAAGTGACTTGACAGCTGTGAAGCTGTAAGATGGGGTGGGGGTGGGGGCTGACAGAGTATCCAGCTTGAGGCAGGTACAGAAGCTCTAGGTGGGGAGAACTGGCAGGACAAAGTCTCTGATGTACGAGTGTGGAGCGATGCTGGAGACCCGTGAGAGCAGCCCGGAGGGGGGCGGGCTGTTCCCATTCCCAGCTTTTGTTCTTCCCTAATCCTGGTCCTGGTTCTCATCCTCTCATCAGAGCAGACACCCCCCCACCCCCACCACCCAACTTCTTTCCTTGGATGTGCAGCTGTGCAGTGGGGGCCCAGCCCTGGCTCTGGCTTTTGTCTGCTGTGTCCTTGAGACACTTCAACCTCTCTGAACCTCAGGTGCCCCAATATGGAACGAAGGGTGCTGACAACAGACTCACAGAGCCGCCGCCGCCGCGGCTGAGGACTGGATGAGACCCTCTCTGTGAAGGAGCGCATTGCCGCATTGGGCGCAGAGCAAGGGTGGAGGAAATGCAGTTACGACGAAAGATGACTCCTGGAATGGCCCCCACCCCCACCAGACGCATCAAGCAAAGCAAGACACACCTCGTTCTGAGGGGAAGGAACGTCAGGTGACCCCTGGCCCAGGCGGATGTAGAGCGTGGCCTGGGTTCAGGGGCGGTCGGCGTGTGGAGTCTTACCTGATGACACCGCTCACATTGGTAAGGCTTCTCGCCACTGTGTACACGCTTGTGACGCTCCAGGTGGTACTTCTGGATGAAGCGCATATCACACACGTCACACTCAAATGGCTTCTCACCTGGTTCAGGCCAAGAAGGGAGTGAGGGCCAGGAGGCACATAAACTCATTCCAGGTTTCCCCCCTGCGCTCGTTAGCACTTAGCAATACACAGACTCCTAAGCTTCCACAAGGGGGAGGAGCCCTCAAGACGCTGGTCCCAGCGGCACCAGACAGCAGTCATGGAATCCCTGGGCCTCATTCACTTACCTTCTTCTTCCATCTCTAATGTGCGCCCTTTAAAATAAACCCTGCGAGGGCGCTCCACCCGACAAACACCGAGCCGCAGAGGACCCCTCCCTCTGAAATGTGGACAAGGGACTTACCGGTGTGAATAAGGATGTGCCTCTTGAGGTGGTAACTGCTCCTAAAGGCTCCAAGGCAGTGTTCACAAATAAAATTTTTGGGGCTCTTTACTTGAAAAGAACCATTTTGCTCCACTACCACCACCTGGGGGCAACAATCAGGCATGTCAGGAGGGTAGTACTCCTCTGGCTTCCCTGGGGAGACCGTTCTACTGTGTCCTCTTCCAGCTAGCTGCCCGCCAATGGGACCCGGGCGCGCGGCCTGGCTTCCTTTTCTCTGCTGACTAAAGATGGTGCCACCTTCCATCGCTGAGCATCAAGAGACCCTCTTCTGGGGCAGAAAGTGTGGGGGTTAAGCTGTCTGCCTTATCCAACCCAACACTGAATAGGGCTGGGAGGGGCGCCTGCCAAAGGATCCCCTACCTACCCCACCCCTCTTCTTCCCCCTCAGCAAGGGCGTTTGGAGAGGGCAGAGATGCCCCGACTGGCACCGTGGTTTCTGGGTGAAGTCAGAGTGGCACACTTACTCGCTGTGAGGAGCCACAGTGTGGAACAAGGTGGCAAGCTGAGGCACCAGGGGAACACAAGTCCAGGGGTGACCCCATTACCTGCCTTTTTAACAGTCTTTTTTGAGTGAGAGGCTTCAGCCAGGCTGTCATCATCCTTGCGGCTCCGGGACTTATCGGTGTTTTTTCGGTGGCCCTTTGAATACAAATCAAATCCACACTCACAGTCCATCTGGGACTCCAAGGCAGGAAGCCAGCTGCCGCTTGCAGGCAAACACTGACACAAAGGCTCAGAGAAAGTGCCCGCTCTCCTCCTTCCTACCGACCCTGGTCTTAGTGTGTGCGGGGAGAAGGCCTTCGTCAGCACCCTGCGACAGCCACATCCACGCATTCCCCAGCTGGGCCCCTTCTCCCCACTTCCCTACGTGGAAGCACTGAGGACTCCAAGCAGGGCATCTTCTGCCAGCGAGCCTGGGCCACCCGACCCCCAGGCGCCACAGGGGACTCAAGCGCTGTACCTGACTTGAGCACCTCAGCACATCAGGGCTACCTGCCCGCTCGCCATTCTCGGCCTGCTTGCTGGCAATCTGGCTCAGCATCATCTTCTTGCTGGCTGCAGTGGGGACCAAACTCACACCTGATAGGCCTTCACAAGCCAGGAGACTTGCCTAAGTTGAAAGGAGATAAGGTGTCAGGTCACCTGGCAGGGCAGGGGGCAAGACAGGCCTACAGAGCTACCTTTTACACCCGGCTACCAAAACGAAAAACAAAAAAACCCGGCTTCCCTTCAAAGAGCGTCACTGTCACATCCACAGCCTGCTGCTTTCCAGGTGGCCCTCGCTCAGCTCAACAGGAATGGAACGAATGACTTACTCATTTAAATAGAGACCAAGCGAATAAACCAGCACAGCCGCTTCTCCAACAACGCGGGGTGACAGCACTTCCCTGCCCCGCACAGCAGAAAACTCGAGGGCAACTTCTGACTCCCCCGAAACTTAAACTTCCAAGAGCCTCTTGTTTCCTGAAGCCTCACTGGTAACACAAACGGTCGATGAACACGTATTCCATATCTGCACTATCCACAGAGTCCCCAGAAGAGGTGCAGTTACAACACGAGCTATAAAGGTTATTTCCAAGAGAGTGCCAGGTTTCTGAGCCGACTGTCCTAGCTGCCCTGGTGGCATAGTGGTTCTGGGCTGGGCTGCGACCGGAAAGGTCAGCTGTTTAAAACGAAAAGTGGCTCCCTGGGAGACAGACAGGGCTTTACCGTCTCGGACACTCACAGGGCAGTTCTACCTTGTCCTATAGGGTCACTTGAGTCAGCACTGACTAGATGGCAGTGACTCTTTGGGACTCGGGGTCCTAGCTGCAGGGATAGCTCCACACATCTCCTTCGATGTGTACCGTGGTCCTCATGCTGGGTTCATTCAGCTCGCCGTGGCGGGCCACGCAGATGCGGACCTCAATCCAGGAGGCATTATCAAGCAATTCGATGTATTGTTCTAACCTGTTGGCTTTTCTCAGCTTCCGGGGTACCCTTTCAGCATCACGGGTGACACCGTGTGAGCCCCGTGGTGCTGGTCAGGTGAGCAGAAGTGCACGAGACCTACAACAGGTCACTGCACTGGGACACCCAATTTCCCTCGGACCAACTGCTCACGCGCAGACCATCTGCCACGTGGCACGGACAAAAACTACCCTGGGAGTTTGAAGCGTGTTTCTCAAAGGACCCCTGTATTCTTGACATGTCTGTTGGCGGCACTGTGCTAGGAGCAGCGGGTATGTGTGTATTTTACCCTGAGGATATTGCCAGCCCTTGACTGTGAGGGGGCATGAGGTCTGTCCTGCTGACCCACTGACATGGAGACTCCTAGGGGACCACCTTCTTCCTCTCCCAATGGGCACCCAGCCCATTTCTCATCAGTGCCAGCCAAACCCGGTCCCACCACTATGTTCACGTGTAAGTGTAGTCTACAAGGCTTGTCAACGACAAAGAATACAAAACGACCATTCTTTTCTACTCAGTAATTGTCAACGATACAGAATACAAAAGTGAAACCTCTTGACAAGAGTTTGGTGTTGGCAAGTACTCCCTCAACACAAGAATACTTTCTTCTAGTAAATTGGCATTCTATGATGCTCACCTTCCCGACAGAACCGCTGAAGACAAAGCGGGTGAATAAGCAAATGTGGTGAAGAAAGCTGATGGTGCCC